AAGTGCTGCCGAAATTTTCTGTTTTCTTCATACTTAGTCTTTTTCAGCACATTTTGACCCCTTGGGGGTAGCGAAGTGTTGGCATAATCTTCTTATTTTTCTTTCTTCTTCACGGCACACTTTGACCCCATGAGAGGGGAACGAAGTGCTGCCGAAATTTTTGAAAAATTCCAAAACTTAGCTTCTCTTCACTCTCCTCCACCTCCTTATTTATTTATTTATTTACTTATTTATTTTTCTGAAAATTTTAATTTGCGGCATTTTGAAAGTTAGTGTGTTACTCTTGCACTTTCCTTCCTCTTGGCACATTTTTGACCCATGCTGGGTGGGAAAATGTTGCCGAAAATTCCAAAAAAATAAATATTCTCTCTCTCCTCACTCTTTACATTTTATTTATTTATTTATTTTTATTTATTCTTTTATTTTATTTTTATCTCGAAATTTTATTGTTTATTCTATTTTCTTTCCCCCCTCCCCCTCCCATATTATCTTTTTCTTGATTAGGTCGTCGCTACCCTCCCCTAACCACTTAAACTCCGGTTAGGGTTTTCTTAGGGTTTTTCTAGGGTTTAGGGTTCTTCTAAACCCCCTACTCTCCCGCCTCCTCCCGTCGGGCACCCTGGACCCGAACGGCTCCTCCCCCCTCGAGCGATTTGGCGCGTTCTTCTCACGCGCGACCCGCCAAATCCGGGGTGAGCCGACTCACACATACTCACTCCGCTCCCGCGGTCCCCTTCCTCTTATCAGCGGGTCCCTCTCCCTACACACCCCCATGAGCTCTACCTCCCTTTCCCTTCCGACCATGAAAGGGAGTTCCTTTGAGGAGATTAACGCGGCGCCGTCCACCTCCCAGGTGAGCGTTCAGCCAGCGGGTCAGGGTCAGGCCCATGCGGACACGATGGACCTTCATGCCACCCTCGTAGCGATTCAGGCGCAACTTAGTACGCTTGGACCGTTGCAAGCGTAAATCAATGCGCTTGCCCTTGACGTCAACCGCCTCAAGGGCTCTCCTCATCACTCTCCCCACCGCTCCCATACCCCATCCCCTACTAGCTCCGAGTTCGGCTCCCCACGACTCCAGAGTCGGAGACATCGTGGTTCGCCCTCCTCTACGGGCCAGGCCCAACACTCCCCCAAAGCAGTGGCGAGTGCTGCTGCCGCTTAGACCACCCCGTCTGTTGCGGCAGTTCTCCCGGCCACGGCCGCCCCTACCGTCTCTACTACTGCCGTAGGTGCTGCGGTCCAGGTACCGCCTCGAGGCCCAACAGTTTCATCGACCCACATCGGTGTTGCTTCCCAGCTTCCCGCACCGGTCGCGGCAATACAGCTCCGCCCTCTTCTTCCCGCCTTTGTCCCCCCACCCCCATAGCAGGGTACCGCCCAGGCTGGGATTCCTCCTCCCACTGGGAGACCCGCTCCGCCCCCTCTACCTCCGACCCCGCGCACCCAGCGCGTGGCCACTTTACAGGCCACCATTGCGCAGGCTCAGGCAGAGATTCTCGCTCTGAGACAGCCTCACCCATCACAGGCTGCCCACCCTTCTTCCTCTACCACCCCTTCGGTCCCCATGATGCAGGCTCGTTTCCCTCGATCTGCTCCTCAACCTCTTCCCTCCTACCTGGTTATTCCGGGACAGCTGCCCGTGGCCGTTGCCTCCTCGTCTGCTGGTCCATCCACTAGTGGCCACGGCCCACAGCCTTCCCCCACCTCTGCCCCTGCAGCGACCTCGACTTACGCTGCCGCAGTGCACTCGCCTCGATCTCTCTCTCCCCCGCCATCAGCACAGTGGACATCCTCCTATGCGCACCACGGAGATTCCCGAGTATGATGGCACAACCCGTGTCTCTCGCTGGTTGCAGATAGCAACGCACACGCTCTCTATGACGACCACCCGTCAGGAGTTGTGGTGCGATGTGCTCGCAACCAAATTGCGAGGTAGCCCTTCCACTGCGTGGGAGGATCATTATACCCAGCGCCTCCGCGTRGGTGAGGTCCCCACTCTGGCCGACTTYGCAGCCTTCCTTCAGGACCGTTTCGGCGCTCGTCATGACGCCACCGACGCCTTAGACCGCGTCACCCAGACCAGATGGTCCGGGTCCTCTGTACCGGCCGACCTGGAACGTCAYATCCGGGTGTTTCAGGACGCTCGCCTTGTTTGTGACGAGACGTTCCTACCGGAGGTCACACTCACCGACCGGTTCCTTGTCAGCCTGCCGACTGACTATCGCCTAGAGTTATGGAGGCGATCATTCTCTTCCGCGGAGCAGGCATACGAGGCTGCGCGTCAGTACCAGAGGATGTGCAGTCGCTTCTCCGTCGCCCCATCCTCTTCGCGGTCAGCCGCCACCTCTCAGTCTCGGGGTACCACCTGAGGTCGCTCCTCGTTTGCTGGTCATTTTCGTCGCCTGACCCGCCCTGGAGCGTCATTCTCTCAGCGCTACAGTTCTCTGGAGTACGGCGAGGACGCCTCGGCCGAGTTTAACCCTACCCTTGGGGACGCCCCCGAGGACATCGAGCTACGAGACGTCATCCAGTATCACTTGGATGACGACACTGTTCCGGTAGCGCTTGCTGATGGCCATGTCTGCCATGGGTCGTGCTCGTAGTCGGGTTGCACAGGCTGGCGCGCGCACACCCACGGTTCCTCAGATAGACCTCCCGCAGGGTTATGTCCCTCCTCGCGGAGCTTTATCCCCTGAGGAGCGTGCCGCCCTCGAGGCCCGGCGCGGCTGCCTTTGTTGCCGCCTAGATGGACACACCTCCTCACGGTGTCCATACCATACCGCCCTCGATCGGCACTACGCTGACATCTCTCGTCAGCGTCGATCTCAGTCCCCCCCCGGCCCCGCCCGGCCAGCCCCATCCACCCAGCCACGGTGCACTGTGCCYCTGAGGCCTCGCACGTAGCCGGCTTTCCGACCACTGAGTCGCGGTTTGCCCCTTTGGCTACCCCACCAGAGGACCCTCAGGACACGATAGACGCAGTTCTCTCCGCCCCATCGACTATCGAGGTACCGTCTGCCTCCCAGCAGACTGCCGCATCTAGCGCTTCTCGCTTGAGACTTCCGACGCGTCGCGCCATTCGCACAGCCCGTTGTGGTGCTCAGCTGGCGACTCGCGATGACGTTGTGTCATCTCTGCTGGACTTGAGCATTCTGCAGGCTCGTCAGGAGTGCCTCACGAGACACATCAACATCCTGCGTCGTCTTCTCGCCTTGCTCTCTGACCCTGATCGCACCCTACCCATCATCCCTATTCGCCTAGGGACATCTACGAGGGTGTACCGCGCTTTATGAGACTCTGGCTCGCAGGGAGATTTCGTTCGCCCTCGAGTGGTTGAGGAAGCTCGCCTAGCTACCTCTGGGTCTCACTCTCCTATCTCCGTTACCCTCGGAGATAACAAGACGCAGCGCTTCTTCGATCAGACGGTCCCCGACCTCCACTTCTCCCTCACCCTCCAGCCACCGGATAGTACCCAGGCGCCTCGACGCTACCATTCCTCCGCCTACTTCGACGTGCTGGAGACTGGGTACGACTTTATCCTTGGCACTCCCTGGTCTCGCCGGTTCCGTAGCACAGAGGCCGAATGGGCGTTTGAGACACTCATTCTCAAAACGAAGTGTGGTCAAACCCATCTAGTCCCCTTCATTGGAACCACGGGCGGCACCCCTCCAAACCTACCTCCCCAGGACCCTCGTCCTTCTGGGTCCCACCCAGACATCTCCTTCACTTCTCCCCGTCAGTTTGCTCACTTCATCCGACAGGAGGACGTCACACTCTACTCAGTGAACGTCATGGATCTTCTTCGCTACGATCCACTCTGTCCCGAGGTTGAGCTCATCTCACTGGAGCCCGATCCCCCTGACCCTTCCTCCATCTTCACGGCTCTCATCTCTACATCCACCCCGCAGCCTGCGGATACCCCCTCGACATCCCAGGTTCCTACGCCGTCCACTGCCGAGTCCACCCATACGTCTCGTGCCGACGCAGACGTTAAGGAACTCATGCGGTTCACGACTGACTTAGAGCCCGTCATTTGCGACCTGATTCGGGAGTACAGCGACGTCTTCCCCCCGTATTTCTCATACAGCGGGATTCCCCCGATGCGCGGTGTCGAGCATTCCATCCAGCTCGTGCCTGACTATCGTGTTCACCATCAGGCACCATACCGACTCTCGATTCCAGAGGCGACGGAACTCAAGCGTCAGCTTGAGGAGCTCCTTCGACTTGGTTTCATTAAACCTAGTAACTCCCCTTGGGGTGCACCTGTCCTCTTTGCTCGCAAAGCGGACGAAACTCTCCGCCTCTGCATCGATTATCACGGCCTTAACCGTTACACGGTTAAGAACAGCTATCCCATGCCCCGCGCGGATGAGCTGTTTGACCGTCTGACAGACAACCGCTTCTTCACGAAGATCGATCTTCGTAGCGGTTACCACCAGATCCGCATTGCCGCAGAGGACCAGCCGAAGACCGCCTTTCGGTCGCGCTTCGGCCACTACGAGTTCACGGTGATGCCATTCGGCCTCACCAATGCACCCGCCACCTTCCAGACGACGATGAACGACATTTTCAGGGACATCCTTGAAGAATACGTTCTCGTATACCTGTACGACATCCTGGTCTACAGTCGTACCTTAGAAGACCATATCAGACACCTCCGCGATGTCCTACAGTGCTTACGCAAGCATGGCTTCTATGCCAAGCTCAGTAAGTGCTGCTTTGCCCAGCGCAAAGTGGACTTCCTAGGACACCATGTGTCTGACCAGGGTCTCCACATGGACGATGCAAAGATCAATGCTATTGCAGAGTGGGCCGTCCCCACATCTGCCAAGCAGCTTCGCAGCTTTCTAGGCCTCACCAGCTACTATAGTAATTTTATCCAGGGATACGCTAGGTATTCCTACGTCCTTACCTCCACCCTCCTCCGGAAGAACCCGCCGTGGTTTTGGACACCGCTCTGCGAGGACGCCTTCCGCGCCCTCAAGAAGGCGATGACTTGCGCGCCGGTTCTTCGCCTTCCTGATTTTGATCATCCCTTTATCGTCACCACCGATGCGTCAGATTTTGCAGTAGGAACTGTCCTTTCTCAGGTGTTTCCCTCTCCTCCAGATTCACCTTACCCCCATGTTCCTCCTTCCCCCCCCCCTCTTGCTGACACTGCTTCTCGACTGACGCCTATCCTACCACCACTTCCCTCCACTGACAGTCCTCCCATTACTTACTCCCCGACCATCGCGGAGGATGGGACGGTCGAGGCTCGTGCTGGGGATTGTCTGATCGCTTTCTACTCCCGTCAGCTACTACCTGCCGAGATAAACTACACTGCCGATGAACGTGAGGTTCTCGCAGTAGTTTATGCTACCCGGCATTGGCGTCATTATCTGCACGGGGCGCCCTTCACGGTGCGCACGGACAACTCAGTTGTCCAGGCTTTCCTCACGAAGCCTAAGCTTTCCCCTCGACAGGCACGCTGGTGGCGTGACTTATCCGAGTTCAGTTTCACCACTCAGCCCATCAAGGGTGAAACGAACCGCGTCGCCGATGCCTTGTCCCGCCGTCCTTATCACAATCAGGAACCCATCCATCTTGCTGTCATCTCCATCACCAGTGTTGATCAGTCGGTGATCGACGCGTATCGCACTCAGTACTGCCACTGCCCCGATTATCGCGTCATCCACACGACACTGCGGAGTGGCAAGACCGTTCCTTCCTACTCCCTCGGGGAGAACGGCCTCGTGTACTGGCATGGCAGATCTGGTCAACTAGAACCACGTATCTGCGTTCCCTCCACCGGACAGCTCCGCATCCAGGCTGTAGCAGAGTTCCATAACCAGGCAGCTGCCGGTCATATGGGTTTCCACAAGACGTTGGCTCGTGTTTGCCGCCTATACGTCTGGCCGAAGTCCAARGACTTTGTCAAAGCCTACATCCAGGARTGTCCTACCTGCCAGGAGGTGAACAGTGCGAACCACCTTCCGTATGGGTTACTTCAGCCCCTACCCATACTTGAAGGTCGTTGGCAGTCTATCTCGATGGATTTCATTGGTCCCCTCCGCCCACCCACTCAGCGCGGTCATGATGCTAKCTTGGTCGTCGTCGATCGCTTCACGAAGYGTGCACGTTTTGTTCCGTGCCGCTATCGCATTAGCGCTCGTGAGGTCGCCGACATCGTCTTCGACCGAGTCGTGAGAGATCACGGCTTACCTCAGAGCATCATTTCCGACCGTGACCCGCGCTTTACCAACACATTCTGGCGACGCCTACACGAGGTGTACGGATCCCAGCTCTGCTTCTCATCGTCTTATCACCCTCAGACGGATGGTCAGACTGAGGTCACCAACAAAACTCTCGGTAATATCCTCCGAAAGTTTGTTAGGGATGACCAGCAGTGGGACTTACACTTAGCCCACGCGGAGATTGCGTACAACCACGCTGTTTCGCCAGCGACGGGGATGTCGCCATTCTATTGCGACCTCGACTACCACCCTCGCGTACCTGCGGATTTCCTACGACCATTGCGGTTGCGCCCAGACACTCGTTGCCCTGCGCTTGACGACTGGATCGCCCACATGGCGGCGATTATGAAGYGCGCACACGAGAGTTTARCCRRYTCCCAGACTCGCATGGCCGCACGAGCGAACCGATCACGAATGGATCATCCATTCAAAGTCGGTGACGATGTGCTCGTCGACGCACGCCACTTACAGCTCGAAGCAGATATGCTTCGCAAGTTCAGGCGTCGTTTCTTCGGTCCATGCCGCATCCTTCAGGCCGTCGGCTCTAATACTGCCGCTAGTCCGGTCAGCTTYCGTGTGAAGCTACCTGATTACCTTYGACAGGCTCGCGTACACGATGTTTACCACGTCTCCTTGCTGCGTCCTTATCGCAGACCGTCCGAGCGCTTCGCCGGACGCCCTTATGAGCGCCCTCCACTTATCATGGTGGACGGTCATGAGGAGTTCGTTCTTTCCGACATCGTATCACGCCGAGTTACCGACGATACCCCTCCACGCATCGAGTACCTTGTGCGTTGGAAGGGCTACCCTGATGAGGAGGCTACTTGGGAGCCCCTCGAGCACTTGCAGCACACCAGGATGTTGGTGCGTGCATATGATCGTGCTCGTCGTGCTGGGACATCTGCTTCTACTCAACCGACTGACCCTCTTCCTCCTCCTCCGGCTGAGGAGATCGCTGAGGATGAGCCCGCTCCCTCTGAGGCCGTTCCTCAGCCGCAGATGGTCGCCTCCGAGCGTCCACAGCGCACTCATCGTCGCCCTTCATGTTACGATGACTGACACTCTTATCCTCCATCTTTCCCCACTGACTCACACCATCAGGTACTCCATCATCA